TTTTTTTTGTTTTTTTTTTTGTTTTTTTTTTTCTTTTTTTTTTTGGTTTGAGCAGGGGAGGGACAGAAAGGGAGACACGGAAGCCGAGGCGGGCTCCCAGCCGTGAGCACAGGGTCTGGTACGTGGCTCAAACTCACGAACCCGCGAGCCGAAGTCGGACGCTTGACCGACTGAGCCCCCCCCCCCCCGGGCGCCCCGGTTTCTAGTTCTTAAAACCTCCCTTTGGAAGCCTCCATTGAAAACCTAGCAAGAGCATGCACTGTGGTAGGCTCTACCCGCACAGAGTCCCAGCTTTGTGGCATTTTTGAAGTTTGAGACGTGTTCCCTCCATCTCGTTACTCAATGCAGAAAAGTATGCATTCTCCATTATCTTTTTGAGGTCTCACATGGTTTCCCCATCGTCACTTCACCTTCTAAGTCGTTCAGTCATCAGGTCTCGTGATCTTATAGATCTCGTTCCAATGGAGCGATCATTCCTTTTCAAATGTATAAGGGGGGACAAGTTCAGATACAAAGACATCATCTGCGGAGCTTTATCAACAGCAAAACTTGGCAAGTTTCTAAGTAAAAAAGCTTATAATTTCTGAGTCCTGAGTACACTCATTTTAAACGTATACAATTATTGGAGTGCTTATTATGAAAACTAATGCTGTTTTTTTTCCTGGATACCTTAGCCCCAGGCCGAGGCCAAGGTGAATGGTACAACGATGTCTTCTCCTTCTACCTCTCTTCAGAGGTCAGACAGCAGTCAGCCTATGCTGCTCCGGGTGGTTGGCAGTCAGACTTCGGAATCCATGGGTAAGTGTCCTAGCCACTCCTGCGGTTTGTTTTCCCTTCGGGGCTGGAAATGGTGAATTGTTTGCTCGGAGGTTCACATCATGAACCGAATCACCTACTGTCTGCTCCGTACAAGGCACGGTCATAAATGTCTTCGGCCTACAAAAATGAGTCACATGGTCCAGGGCCCCTCAAAGGGCCCGCCGTTCCGTTACTCAGAACAAGGCAACGTGGGACAGCCTGGCTGGCTCAGCCAGTTGAGCATCTGACTCTTGATTTTGGCTCAGGTCACAATCCCAAGGTCGTGGGGTCGAGCCCCGTGTCAGCTTCTGTGATGAGCCTGGAGCCTGTCGGAGATTGCCTCCCTCCTCCTCTCTCCCCCCCTTTCTAGAGTCACGAAAGAAAATTGTAAAAAGGAATAAGGCTGTCTAGTCTTTAAGTTCCATTCATTTTGGAGGCCAGAAAAGGCTTTACCCTGAATTGCTTTCTGTGAACAGTTCTGAAGGGTGAAGGAGGAAGCGAGCACTCTTTGAAGAAGGAATAACGTTAAGTGAAAATGAAGACCTTGGGCCAAGGGCTCAGAACTGCTGTAGAGAAATCTGGTCCAAGCAGGAGGGCAGGAAATAATGCCACAGAGGAAGGCTGGGATCACAGTACAGTGACCTGAGTGTTGGGCAAAGGTATTTGACTCCTACTGGTCAGTGTTGGCGACCCACTGAAAATCCTGTTTCCCAGGTACGCAACGTCTCAAAAGATCTATCCTGGCAGCTGTCTCCGGCCCAGAGGAAAACTTTTATAGGTGGAAAGAGAGATCAAGAGGCAAACACAAAAGGCCCAGTCACGGGAGTTCAGAGTCTAGGCTTGAGAGACATCAGGGATGGGTGGGAAGACAGGACTGCGAGACTAGGATCTGAAAATACGGTGCCTGGGGCTCCAGGCCTGACTGGGAACCGAGCCGAGGCCACTTGGTTGGAAGAAGATAGTCATCCCTTTGGGGACATACCGTGAGAAACTGGCAGGTCCAAGTCATGTGCAGAAAGGAGTTGAAGCGCAGGTCCGGAACTGGCGGGAAAGGACGGCCTGGGGGATTTGACGGCGCCTGCCACAGAGTCGACAGCTGCAAGGCGTGAGCGGAGAAGCTGGTCACGAAGGTGCTGGGATCCGGTGTCTGGAGGCAGACCTCCATGTGGGTGACGGGGTAGTGGAGGAGTGGCAAGCAGGTAGGAGGAAGATGCGGGCACAAGGTCAAACGCAGAAAACAAATTACAGCGCGTTGCACCACGTAAATGCACGAGCCACTTCTGAGAAAACATTTGCAGCCGAGACGAGGGAAGTTGGAGGATTTCTGTCTCTTCGGGGAAGTAAAGCACTGGGTCATCTCGAAGACGAGGGAGGCTGAAGCAAAGCGAAGACGCTCGTGAAACGTGACTCAGTAACACCAAGGACTGGAGTAGAAGATGAATTTGTTGAGGACACGGTCTAGTGTTTTTCAGCAGTGTTCTCTGCTAGGACGGGGGTCGAAGAAAACTGGAGGGCATGAGACATAAATGATGGTAGACGGTCACCAGCCATCTGCCTGTTGGATTTTCCTGCCCTGCTAGACTTCCACATGCGGGGGCGGGTCGTGAAGGCCCCAAATACTTGCTCTGTCCCCCTCCTTTCTCCTTCTCTCTCAAGACACAGCATGAGGCAGACCCCGTGTTTTCTGTTTCCTTGTCCCTGGGCCGAGACTGGTTATACTTGACCCTCTCGATCTTACCTCCGGGAAGGGAAGAGACGCGTGTTCTCCTTGATCCCTCACCCGTAGACCTCTGGTATCCTGGTGTGTTGACGAATTCATTTTATACTTCATTTATACTAAAGATGTTCCATAGATGAGCATATAGAGAGGCCGAGTGCCCAACCAAAATTGGTGGGACAGACAGGAAGAGTGAAGGATGTGAGTTCTGTGGTGATCAGGGACCATGGTCTGGGAAATTGGAAAGTTGGACATGATGAATGGAAAATGCTTTCAAGCCCTGCCCATGTGAGCTGCTGCTACATGGAGACCATTGAGGGCTGCTTTTCATGGGTTTGAGGAGACCCGGATTGTTGGGCTCTTCAGACGGTAGTGAGGTTCTTAGGAATAGAGGAAGGAAGATGAGGGCCCTGAAGAGGGCAAGAGGGCAGTGGACACAAATCTGATGAATTTTAGGACCTTCAAGCCGTGGGCAGAGTCCTGTGTTCCTCCAGACAAGTCAAATCTCGTAGGAAAGCCAGGTTCTAGTGCTTCTGTGAAGGAAGAGAATGTGTGGGAAGCACTCTTCCTGGCTTTATTGCACCCCCGGGGATGCAGGGCAGTGTCGGCATCAGATTCCCTGTCCCCCCGTGAGATCTGAATACAACTAACGGACGGTTGCGACCGAAAGTGATAGCTCAGCACATGAACAAATAGATGTCTTTGAAAAGTCTGTAAACTCCAAAAACAACAGAGGTCGTGGGCCTTCCTTGTTATTTCCCGCTGCAGGATTTCCCCTTCCTTTGAAGTCATAAGCAAAGCATGCGAAACTGAGTTGCCTATTTGTAACAAGTGAGATTCAGACCCCTGGGAGCTCAGGAGCATTAATTATCGAGGCCTGTCATCACTGGCACAGAGGCAGTGTGTCCAAAAAGCACCCAAATGACAGTACCCGTCAGGTTGTGGTCCTGACGATTTGGAGAGCCGAGACCGTTGGGGCAGAAGAGCTGTACGTGGTGCCTTTAGGCTAACCGGCTACTGTCAAGTGGACTGGCTGTGTTTTTGGTGTTTGTCCAGCTCTGTAACCATCTTCTCAAAGGGTGCATGCGAGTATGTGAGTGAGTGCAGCCCGATTCTTTCTGCTTTGAGTGTCCGAGCAGCGATAAGGCTGGGAGTGGCAGAACCACGCTGCATTCTTTACAGAGAGTCTCCCAGTGACTTTTTAACGTGTCGTCCCAGGCCACCTGATGAGTTAGAGTGCTTCCGGCAACCGCCAGGTCCTCAGCACTGTGAAGTCTCTGCATACCATATGTGGCTTCCCGTACGTTCTGGGACGGGGACAACATCACGAAGCTTACATTGTGTTGGAAGAGACAAATTAACAAAGTCTACCTTCTTTTGGCTTTCGTGAACTACACATACAGGGGTCCGTGACTTAGCGACCAGGCCTAATTGCTGACTACCCCTTACCTTCTTCCCACTTTTTCATCTAATTTGGGTAAAGAGGTTCCCTAGCTTCTTATTCCGAGTAATTTCAAACTATGGCAGAATTGGAGTTAATTGAACATGTTGCCACGTTTGCTTTCTGTGCATACACCTCTGTATGCATACTGTGTATGTTTACAGTGTAAGTGCCTAGTATACGTGTGCAGAGTTTGTTGGTTTGTATATTTAACTGGCGCATTTAATAATTATATTCCACACATAATGACACTTCACCACCTATCTTCTAAGACTAAAGGTCCTCTCTTACAGAATTATCACACAGGAGGGGGGGCCTGGGTGGCTCAGCCAGTTAAGCATCCCACTTCAGCCAAGGTCATGATGTCCCGGTTTGTGAGTTTGAGCCCCACATCGGGCTGTGCACCGATAGCTCAGAGCCTGCTTCCAATCCTCTGTCTCTTTCTCCCTCTGGCCCTCCCCTGCTCACACACGCACTCACTCCCTCTCACAAATAGGCGTTAAAAATTGTTTTAACTAAAGAATTATCACACAGGAAATTAACACTGATACAATAGTCTACATAACTGAAATTGAAATAGCCCCAGTTCTGCCGGTAATATTCTTTATAGCTTTCTATTTTTTTTCATTCAGCATCCACTGAAGGGTCACATTTGCAGTTAGTTCTCATTTCGTCCTAGTCACCTATGATCTAGAACACTCCTCAGTGTTCCTTTCTTCCTTTACCTACCTTCTTTTGATTTTTTTCACTTTCTTGAAGAGTGTGTTACACCACGAAATGCACATGTATATGTCTGGATGAGTTTGGACATATGCGTCGGCCCCTATTACGACCACAAACAAGGTCCTAAACACGTTGCCCGCCTCCATAAATCAACCCTCTCCTACCTTGTCTAGCCGAGCCCCGTCTATGCAAGAAGCATTCGTTTTAGAAAGCAAGCACAACACATCCTTGTGTAGACAGAGAAACAATCCACATACTTAACAGGTTTACTTGGAGGTTCTGGTTAAAGATGGCAATAGCAGAGTCCTGAAATTACCTCCTCCCACAGACATACCAAATCTATAACTGCATACCGAACAATTCCCTCTGAAAGAAACCCAGCACATGTCAGTGACTCCTACACATCGCAGACAAACGGCGGGGGGGACAAACACCCCACGTTGAAACAGGTAGGAGAGGCTGAGACACAACACGATGCCGTCATAAACTCCAGCCCCCGTGTGGCAACACACAACTGGAAAGGAGCTCACAGGTTTCCCGGGGAGAGCTCTGAAGCTTGTATCTGATGCCCCAGCTTTCCAGACTCCTGCCTGAGAGGTGGGCCCCCAGAACATGTGGCTTTCAATTCAACAGGGCATGAGTCCAAAATAGCCAAGGGCTCACACGGACTCACCATGGCTAACCCCTCGGGGCTCCGCGCAGGGGCGACAGAGTAAAATACACCCACTCAGTCTTCAGAGAGGCCGCCTTATTTATCACAACAGCTTCAGCCTGAGGAGTAGGCTTCTAACTTAACACACACACAGGGGCCACCTAAAATACTCCCCAGCGAAGGTGGAGGCTGGCGGTTACCATCTTGCTGCCCTCCCGCCTCCTCTCTCCAGGTCACATGCGATCTCTTGGTTTTCAAGGCTGCCACCCAGGAGACACAGAGCTTGATCATCCGGATTCAGTGGCCAGTAGGACTTGTGTTCACAGGTTCGGTGGGATGGTGGCCAACAAAAAAATGTAAACGGCTCTCCCTCGGGGCTCAGAGCACAGGGAACCAACACCCCCTCCCACCTCCCAGCCTTGCCCTGAACAAAGTAGATCCGCAGGCTTGAAAAGCTGCTGGCTGAG